TGTAAGTTTTCATTGTAATTACACTTTGTAATTATTATAGAGTAAAGATTATTTGGAATTTAGTAATTTTCTTATTTTTCCTATTGTCTTGCGTATTATTATTTTATTTTTTGGTCAGTGGTGTTCCTGCCGACCGCTGTAAATTCTTTTAAGTAAAAAACAGCAGTCAGATAAAACCCCTATACAAACAAATTAATCTGCCGTGTGTTTCTTTTTCCTGAACACCCGGTTACACATATATTTAGCATGCCAAATATCTCATGGGTATCTGCGATGTGTGGGTGCTTCTGTCAGATCACGTCTTTGGTAATACAAACTGTGCGATTGTCACTCGCGTAAACAAGCACAGATTTGTTGACACTGATGGCCTTGAGGTTAATGTGACCCATGTTTGATTCCTGACTTGTGGTCCATTGCTGATCCTGCTTTCCACTCTGTCATATTCTTTTCTGTCATATCTCCACTGTCATACCAACAATAAAGGTTTTTTTTTTTTTTAAATAAAAAAACAGACTTGTCTCCAAGTTCGGGCATTTGTCTGCGATTTCCACAAAACTGTCTGTGAGAGAAAATCGGGTCTAAAACCATGCTGTACGAACCTGGCATTAATCTCATAAAAGCAGCAAGTTGCAAATAAGCCACTTCTTGTCAGAAGCCAATAGCAATCGTTAACACAAAGGTTTAGGCCCCGCCCCTGAGTGGTGAAACTGACTCTTGGCTTGTGCATGAAGAATTTCAGCTCCTGCATCTGTTCTGATCTGTGCACGCATGCAGAACTGAACTTGTGTTTGTGGTCAGTTCTGTGTGTGCTTGACCTGTCAGGGCTTGCTTCTTTGTTGTACATGTTGTACATTTTACATGCAATCTTTTGTCACTGTGCTCACACTGCTGTAATTTACTTGTGCGCTGTGTTCGTTCTAGCTTCTACCATCTTGAAGGAATCCCTTGCTGTATTCCTCAAGTGCAAGCTGCATTAGAGGTATCTGTCAAATGAGTAAATGTAAAATGTAAATGTAATTGCACATATGTCTGAAGTAGTGAGTTTAATTATGGGGGTGCAGAGCCAGTGTTTGTCCTGTAGGTAAACATCAGTGCCTTAAATTTAATGGGAGTGGCTTTTGGCAACCAGTGTTAGCTGACGTAGAGAGGAGTGACATACTGTATGTGATAGGGAAACCAATGTTTCCAAATGGCAGAACCTAGTGATGTCATATAGATAGAGAACAGATGTGGTTTAAGCACTGAGCCCTGATTGAATATTGAATAATGAATATTTCTGTTTGATTCAAGGGCTTAAGTTTCACTGTGTTAATTTTGAGTGCATCATGTTTAACCTTAGGAAATCCTGATGGTCTGTTTGACTTGTTTTAACACACTGGATAATGATCAGAAACCCCACCTTCTTACAACACCTACCAGGAAGAGACTAACTTCTCCTTTCTGTCATACTGACTCTCTCTCTTTACTTCGGAAACCATCATTCAGAAATTGAAACTAAAGTTTTCTGGAGCTCAAACAGTGAAAATGGATTCACTAGCTGAATATGATTATAACTGTCCCGTGTGCTGTGAAATCTTCAAGGATCCTGTTGTTTTATCATGTAGTCACAGTGTCTGTAAAGAGTGTCTTCAAAAGTTCTGGAGAACCAAGGAAACTCAAGAGTGTCCTCTCTGCAGAAGAAGGTCCTCAAGAGATGATCCTCCATGTAATCGCGTGTTAAAAAACTTGTGCGAGTCATTTCTGAAGGAGAGAAATGAGAGGCATTCATCAGGATCTGAGGAGATCTGCCGTTTACACAGTGAGAAACTCAAACTCTTCTGTCTGGAGGACAAACAGCCTGTGTGTTTAGTGTGCAGAGATTCACAGAAGCATGACAGTCACAAATTCAGACCAATAAGTGAAGTGGTTTCATCATACAAGGTAAGACAAATGTTTCATCTCATGTATAAAGAACAATAAATGGTCATAACGAGATATCATCGTGTTTGTGTACTTAATATTTTCTTTATATCAGGGGTTCCAATTTCCTGTCCAGTTCTCTTAGCAGTTGGTGTTTTATTTAAATTTTGTTAAATTCTAGGAAGAGCTCAAAACAGCTCTGAAGTCCTTACAAGGGAAACTTAAATACAAAGAAAACATTAAAGGAAAATTTGAAGAAATGGTTCAACACATCATGGTGAGGAAACAGAACAATTTGATTTGTTAAGACATTCAAACATTTAGATTAAAAGAAAATCATGCCAAAACGTTCCCTTTCGTGGAACTTCGAACTGCGTTCTCTAGGGGTCGCTATGGGGAATGCCTCGTCGTGACCCGTGTCTGAAGCCTACATTGAAAAAAACACCAACTTGTTTGGCCGGCGACAGCCATGACGTCACTACCGTCGCGACTAGTACAAAATAGGTGCCGTTAGCGCACATCATCACTTTCTTCGTCTTCACTGACCGTTCTGTTTGAAGCGTGCATTCCAAAAGTAAGGTAAGAGCTTTGTTTTCCTACTATGGCGAGCACTAGCGGAGCGTTTAGAAAGTGTGTACATCCGTGTCAGCGGTTTCTGACACCCGATGA